TTTTACTTGGTTTATAAGAATTTCGTTAATTTAATAACTTTGATGTTTCAGTCTGATAAATAAAATAAAAGTTACTGGCCAGTTCACGCGACCTACTTGACGAACGTCAGTGATAAAGATATCGTAAATTAGTACGCAAATGTCAATTTACGTGCGTTTTGTTGATCAAACGATTAGGTATACCATCCCACGTATTATTTTTTTTTCTATAAGACTATAAATATAGTAATCATTTTATAAGATATTCTGTATAATATAAAAATTTACGATGTTATATTTTTCTAACAAAATTCATAATAATAAGACGTTTAAATCAAATAGTTTTACCATTTTTTGTCAACTGTAGATTTATTTATTTTTAAAACGATCAAATCTGTAATACATTACTGTTACTTAAGATTTAAAGAAACGGACATCCAAATAATTCCGATTACGAATAATCTATCTTCACTTAAAATTTAATTATAGCAAACTCCCTCTCCTTGATCTATTATGTAAATTGATCTCTTTTAGAAAAATCCATATACTATGGGGTAATATATGTCTAAATATAAGAAATGTATGTATATATATATATATATATTATGTTACATAAATTTTAAATTCAAATACCATAATCCATATACTATGGGAAACCTACATTCACCTTTTATATAATAAATGTACCCTTTTTGAGAAATTTAAGTTCACACGAACCATTTCATTTTTTTATTATTATATAGTTTAAGTTTGTGCATATTCATATATATATATATATAATATTTGAATTTTATTAACTTAATATATTTATTAAATTGGGAATGAATTTAAATTTTATATATTTAAAGTCATATCAAACTTTACACCCATATAACTTTTCGTCACTTACCATCTAATGCTCTTATTATATACATCTCACGTGTATTGTGTCCTTTTGCTGTAATATCAATGTCTATTTCTCAACCACTCTGTATACATACATACATATACATATATACATACATACATATATATATATATATATTTACAAGGATTTGCCGACTGTATCTGTATGATTTATTTTGTCTTGTTATAGATAGTGTGTGTTCTGAACTTCTGTGTCCATATATCTATATTTGTATATATATATATATATATGTATATGTAATAGTCAAGTCATGACATAATTTTTTGAAAATTAAATTTTTGAAAAACTTATATATTAATTAATATTATTATTTCAAAATAATTATCAATAAATCAAATAAATAATCACGTATTAACAATGTATTAATTAAATAATTAGTGACATAAACTTTGGTATAATATTTAATTAAATAATTAATTTGAACTCTCCATATGGATTCTAATATTTATCGTCGATACGTACACTACGTATGTACCCAAAGTCTAGTGTGTGTGAATTTGAAATTGTTAAAAGGTACACTGCAAACCCATTAAATTCTAATGAATTTGGAAATTTCAAGAGATGAGTACTTGCCATATCTATACATATATGTATGTATGTATGTATGTATATATATATGTGTGTGTGTGTATAGGTAGGGGCCAAAATTAAGCAATGGCAGAAGGCAGTCTGATTTTCTGATGGTGGTGTTGTAAATTAAATTCCAACATTGATCAACACAGACAATTATATATATATATATGTGTGTGTGTGTGTGTGTGTATAGTTGTATAATTTTTTCCTTAAATTTTGTATATGCGATAATGAATGGTGAAATCTAGTACTAGCCACCTTTGTCATAATTTTTAAACTATATATTTAGATTATGCCCATATCTACACCCAACCCCTACACCAAGCCCCTATATGTATATATATATATATATACACACATATATACATACACACGCACACACCCACTATGCTAATTTTGATATGTTAAAAAGAAAATAGGTAAATTTTTATATTTTAGTTTTTATAAAATATGTTATATAATGCATAAAAATTTCCAAGCAAATGAACCGGATTAAACCGGTCCAACGTTAACAAAACCGGATTAAACCGGTTGAAAACATTTTACAAACCCTAAATCCATAATCCCCCCCTCAATCTTGAATCCCAAGGTCTCATCTTTATTGCTCTGCTGCTGGCTCTTCATCTTTCCCGAAAACTGAAGTCAATTAAATTCGGTGATGATGATGATGCAATCTCTCCGTCATCATCTTCAACCCCAGAAATATTCTGATAGCTCAGGGCGATGTCAGCTCGATCATCACTTTAACCCGTATGTTCGTGTCTCGCTTCATGGGACTTCACCGCTCAGGCGTCGCTTGTTCCGCTGAGTCAAACCCGGCCGCTTACTCGGGCCACCAACGTAATCCCTTATCTGCATTTTCATCTTTTTGTTGAACTCCAAACTCTTGACTCTCTGATCCCTCCCTCCATCCCCAATCTCAGGTCTCTGCAATCTCTGGATAGGGGGTAAAATAATTTCTGGAGTGATTAAATAATTATTAATAAGCTTATATTGATTTTGGAGTAAGCAGATGAGCGCAGGCCAGTTGCGAGTGCCCTTTCAGCAATACTGAAAATCTTTTTTGTCTCATCTGCTCAGCTCTTCCTACTCAACCTTAATCTATAAAAAAGTAAAAAAGCATAAAATTTTTTGTCCAAGTGTATAATTAGCAAAAGTGTTGTCACTGTGATCAATACAGTGGATCCCCCCCCCCCCATTATTTAGTCTTATTTAGCTAGGTTTTCTGCACAACCTATACACCTACATATATATATATTATGTATATGTGTATGTGTATGTATATGTATATGTATACCCTTTGAACTATTTGTTTCTAAAACATTTATGTTAGATTAATTGGGTGTTTATAGACCAAGACATGTTTACATGCAAACAAATAGAAACTGACGAATTTTGTAGAACTCAAAAATTTCAAAGGAGGATCTGAAATTTAAATGCATGATTATCACTAATTCTAAAGTAGCATTGACTATTTGTAATGTTATTTTTTTAGAATAAGAAATGTAGAAAAGGAAAACCAACAAATGAACAAAAGCACAAAAACAGATGATGATCAGTGAAATCTCCCAGAAGTGCAAATCATATCAAGAAAATCCACGAATAAGAAATTTTGATAGGATTTTAAGAAAAGAGAAATTAAAAGCACACAGAGAAGAAGGTGGCGTGTGATAACAATGTCTCTGTCAAAGTTGATAATTTTAATCTTGTACTGTGCCGACATTGGGAGATATGAAACAGCTTTATGGATACATAGATGGTGAAAAATCTCGTCTCTCCAAGTTTTCTTATTTTTTTATAAATTTAAAATCTTTTAATCTTCCGCCATTGAAAACTACTTTCTGTTCCCCCTCTTTCATTTTCTTCACTGACAGAGAATACCTGCACATTTTCTCACGCACGCACGCATACTCTAAACAGCAGCGCAGAACTGAGAAGAAAACCCCACTGCCCACTCCTCCCGCATACATCACCCTACCTATTTTTCTTTTGCTCTGGATTTATCATAAAGCTCGAGGAAGACGACAGAACCCAGAGAAGGTAACACAGTTTTCCACAAAACCCAGATCATCTCATACATCCTACATTATTTCACCTTTTTCCTTCTGCCATTTGATTCATCAAATCCCCATGAAAACCCCACCAATATAAACACCACACACCCACTTCTATCCTCCCCCTTGTAAACCAATCTCCTTTCCCTCTCTCTCTTCTTCCTTTTCTCCTTCTTCCTCCTCTTCTTCCCCATTTCGGCACGAATCTTATCTGGGTTCTTTTTCTTCTTTTCGCTCTCATGGAAACTTACATACACCACCATTTTGACAACTGCGATGCTCATTTGCCGCCTGGGTTCCGGTTTCACCCGACTGATGAAGAGCTCATCACTTACTATCTTCTTAAGAAAGTTCTTGACAGCAGCTTCACTGGCCGAGCCATTGCAGAAGTTGATCTCAACAAGTGTGAGCCATGGGAGCTCCCTGGTAATAACTCAAAACTTTTTTATAGTAACCATCGTATTTACATATTTATATATGTCGTGCATGTGTACGTTTATGGCTTGCATGGACGATAAAGCTGAACTTTTTGGTTAAAATCCACGCAGAGAAGGCAAAAATGGGAGAGAAAGAGTGGTACTTTTTCAGCTTGCGTGACCGCAAGTACCCGACCGGTCTACGTACCAATAGAGCCACGGAGGCTGGTTACTGGAAGGCTACTGGGAAGGATAGGGAGATTTACAGCTCAAAAACTTGTGCACTTGTGGGAATGAAGAAGACTCTGGTGTTCTACCGAGGGAGAGCTCCCAAGGGTGAGAAGAGCAACTGGGTAATGCATGAGTATCGCCTTGAAGGCAAGTTTGCTTACCATTATCTTTCCAGGAGCTCCAAGGTATATATACTTATCTAATGCCCTCCTTTTATTTTTATCTTGTGCTTAGTGGTTTTTCATTCTACAATTGACAGTAAACTCCATATCTTACTGATCATTATGAAAACCAAAGAAAAGACTTGATAATGTCAGACATTTTCTGCATATGATTACTTCACTTCTTCCAAGAAATTAGGTTTTCGGCCTGTATAGTGTTAATTTTGGCCCAAGAAAATCAGCTTAAAGCTTACTTTCCTTGTTTGCATCAGTACAAAGTAGTATATGATTTTCTGTAGGCCATGTTGTTTATGGCGTGCTAGTTATGGTCACTTCGATGCATTTAATTAGAACTGTGTGCGTATATATATATATATGTTTATATATGTAGTATTCTTCTATGCTGTTCGAATGTGGGTGAAGTCATGATAACGAAATATGTAGCTTGTTCGTTTCATGGATTTTAATTGAACCATGTCAAGATCATAGAAGTCATTTCTCTTTTAAAGCAAATGTTACATCAAGATGTCCCATTCGAGTCGATTCCTTCTTAACTTAATGATATCCTTTGCTTTTTCTCGAAAAGCAAAAAAAACTTGCACCATTGCTTAAATAAATAAATATAATAAATATACAGATATGTGTGTATATGTGTATGTATATAAAGTTTTTATAGTGATTGTGTTGCCCTTTTGTAGAGCATAAAAGTTTTTATGCCGCTATAAATAAAATGTTAGGTTATTAAAGTGGCCATACGATCCGACGGTTTGTCTTTTGAAGCTTGGCTTTTTATTTAAAAACTGAGACTGTAATTAAGCTCTTGACGTACTTTGTAATAATGTGCAAGTGATTCCATTAATGAACTGCTGAATGTGTTTATTTATTGCAGGATGAATGGGTGATATCTCGGGTCTTCCAGAAGAGCGGTGCCGGCAGTTGCGGCGGAGGTGGCAAAAAGACCAAAATGCCCCCCAGTATCAACTTGTACCAAGAACCCAGCTCTCCCTCCTCCGTCTCCCTCCCTCCACTTCTTGATCCCACCACTGCAAGCACCACTGCCGCCGCAACTTCGCTCGACAGCTGCTCCTACGACGGTCACAGCTTCAGTACCAGCGCCGCCGCCGCTGCCGCAGCTTCGTCTGAGCACGTGTCCTGTTTCTCCACAATTGCAGCCGCTGCAGCTGCGGCTGGCTCCTCCGCTTCCTCGACTTTTGATTTCGGCCCTCCTCCTCAGCTGCCACCGCAGCCGCAGATGTACGCAGGATATGATTCGTTTACGCGCTTCCCGAGAAGCGTGGGATTGTCGGGTTTTCCGAGTCTGAGGTCGCTGCAGGAGAATCTCCAGCTGCCTTTCTTTTTCTCCTCCTCTACTTCCTCGCCTTCTGCTTCGATTCCCCCTCCGCTTTTTCAGGGCGGTGGTGGTGCCGCCTTCAGTTGGCCATTTATGCCGGATGAAGGTGGCGGGAAGCTTTGTATGGGAGCAAGTGAGCTTGACTGCATGTGGTCTTTCTGAAACCGTTTCCCTCTAAACCATCAAGACGTATCTTTAGGTTTTCATTAGTGGGTTCTGTTTCTTTGTCAAGCTCTGGTAATCCTGATATGTTATGTAGTGTATTAATGTAGCGTCTTTAACGTCGGCATGCAGGATGCTTATCTCTATGTCATCTGTAACAGTAGGATGGTAGGAAGATTAGAGAAAACTGGTACTTTTCTATCCATTTTTAACTACTGTTGAACTAATGGAATATTGAATGTTGTAGTAATTAACATGTTTCGTATCTTGAGCACTAAGTTCTCTGATATTTCTGTATAGATTTCCTGCGTCAATTGACTCTTAATGTTTTGCTTAGTTCGTAGCAAATGATGGTGCAGGAAGCCAATTCTCTCGGACCTCATTAAGGAAAGTTTCCAAACAGTTTCCTAGCAATCCATAACCACAATATCTTTTTGAACTGCCCCCGAGGCTGAATTGAATAGTTGGTAATAAATGCATAAAAGGTTATGTAAGCAACAGCCGTACACTACAGTGGTCGTGTCGACCATTAACTCCCATGAAATGGGTATGCGCCATTAAATGTGGTTAGGTTTTGAAATGTTGGTATTGGTAGAGCTGGTTTGTACTGTCTACCCTAAAGAGTTTACTTCACTTTCACTCATCGTAGTGGCATGGGTGTTTTCAGCCTTATGTTTTGGCCAGTTGAGAGGACTAAATAATCTCACACTTTGCTTCTCTCTGTATGCATCTGCGTCAGCAGCCATAAACATGTTGTAGATAAGGGACCAACCTACATAGATATATATCTCTTTTGAATAAGACCCAAGCTGATGCAATAATTCTTTCGCTAAAGCTGGGTCACCATCAACATATAAATGTGTGTGTGTGTGTGTGTGTATATATATATATATACGTTGTGTTCATGGATGTTATTACCAGTTTGTTGCGTACCAATCTGGGAAATTTCTCTCACTATCTTTTGATTATCTTGTTGCATGTTTTTCAACAAGTGACAATTTTGTGGAGGAGGAGGTATCAGGGTTCTGATTTCTGAGGCCTTAAATGGTGCAAGATAGGGCCCCACTTCGCCATCATCATCATCACCGCCATCATCATCGTCATCATCGCATATGGGAGTTTTTTTTCGGAGCAGAGTTTTTGCCACGTGGAGAGTAACCATTGGCCGCAGTGCAGCCTCTGCGATGATGGATCAAGATGGGAAAGGAGTCACGTGATGTGGGTGTGGTTGGCTGGGGTGTTGTGGGACCCAGTGTGGGCCCAGGGTTTCACGGAAATGGCATAGCACGCGGTGTACCAGATGGATGAAAGGGTTTTGGACTTTATAATGCATTTGGGCCTTGTGCTTTGGTTTTTGAACGTGGAAAATATTGGCCGTTGAATATATATATATATATATATATATATATATTGCAGTTGCTCCACCGATTATCTTAAAGATAAATTAATTAGTGTCTAATTAACAGTAATTTTAATGTTTAAAATTAATTTATTAGACTAAATAATAATATTTGACCACATAATGACTGATTTAATTATATTTAAACCAAAATTCAGAAAAAATAATATGTATATATATACGTATATATTTTATAGGTATATTTAAAAAAAAAAAAGAAAAAAAAACAAAGGGAGTGGGCTGAATCTGGAGATATGGGCTGCCAGTTTCAGACTCAAACACGAATCCAAAGCAGTTGACACGCGCCGTCGAAGCCCCGCTCTCGTTTGACGGTTTTTATTGCCTTTCCTCTGGTTCGGTTCAGTTCAAGCGTGCGAGATACAGGAGTAGTGTTTTCACTTTCTTCCGTAAACTCCTCTGTGAAGTTTTGGACAAACCACACTGTCTCTGCAATCCTGTCGGTTATGGACGAAGAGTACGCCATGGACGACGCAGCTCAGTTGCTCGAAACCGCCTCCGACTTCGGCTATTATCCTGGTAGCCGTTGATCTTTATACATTTTCTTGTCAATCTTTTTGGTTTCTGCTATATTGTTGTTGTCTTTTAATTTTTCATTTTCCTACTTTTTGCTGTCTCCGCTGAATTTTTAGGTGTTCAAAGCGATGCTGCGGCTGAGGAGTTTCTCTATCGTTTCCCTCTTGCTGTCATCATCAAGTGATCAATCTCATTTAGCGCTTGTTTTCGATTTCTTTTTAATAATTGAAATTGTGTTTTTTGATTTTTCGTCGGGGTTTGTTTGGCTGCTAACTTGTTATTGTACATAGATGTGCTCAAGAATTTCTTTTTTCTCAGCTTTTTAAGTCGCTACTTTCATTTATCATCCTCTGCTACGATCGGTATTTTTTTTTTTTTTGGTTGGGTGTTGAATTGCTGTATTTCTAACTTTTGTGTGCACGCAGGCAAACACTCACTTTTACCTCGATGCATATACTGTTTGATTAGTGTTTTGAAACACATTGTTCTAGGATCTCAGTACGTGATGGTCTTTAGCAGAGACGAGGGCTAACTCCAACTTATTTTGTCCCCGGTTTTCACGTGCAGTGCTTTACAAACCAGACTGCAGTATCCTGGTTTAGAAGATGCTCTAGTTGCTGCTCTAGAAAAGATATTTGAGACAAAGTATGGGGCCTCTTTAATCCCACACTACATGGTACGCATTTATTTATTCGTGGGGCTCCTAATATTATTTGCTTGTTCGTGCCGAATTGTAATGATTATATTCCTGGAATTTTAGCTTCCTGGAACCTCTATCTCCTGATGCATTTCTGGGAAGTTTCAGCTGACAATTTGATGTCTTGAAACGAAAATTAAATTTCTTTATGCAAATGATAAAGTATCCTTCGTTAGTGCTAAAAATTCCATCCCACTCATCTTAGTCAGTTGTGATGATAATTAAATTTCTGTTGCTTAATTTTGGTAATTGTTTTTGGTTAACTTTGGTGTAGATTTCCTGATTTGCGTAGCTCATGGTCCTTTTATTTCCGTTATTTTTTTTTGGTAGTTACCTATTTCTTCCAATTTCTAAGCAGTAAAATATGTAAGGACATATAAGGACCTGGTTGATATGCTTCAATGCTTCGTAGTTTTTCTAAATGCCGAGTAACAAAATATATCAACTTATAGAACTAAGTACATGAGTTGAGGAAAACTAAATATATCTGTCCATTCTCTTCTGGGAATGCAATCTCTTAGTGCATAACATAAGTTTTAGGTGAGTAGGATGTTGTAGGCACTTCCATATTCAGTTTCAGATGCAACTGAATTACTAGCAGGAGTTTCCTTGTAGTCGCTGGTTGTTCCTTGGTGCCTAAGCCCTATACTGTTTTAGCTTTTCCATTTCTTTCAGTAAAATGAGGTACAGCTTGTGAACCACAAGTTAGTTTTCCAGCATACATCATTCACATGGAACGGTACAGTCTCGATACTTTACAAGAACTGATTGCCATTGATTTTTTGTGCTTTTGCTTCTATATGCACGTGCTTGCGATTGTTTGTATCTGTTTGTGGGTCGGTGTGTTTGAATGCATTTGTATGTTTGCGTCACGTGTGTATCTGTCCTTATACGCATGCTCTACGTGTTGTGGAATCGGAAATTCTGGTAGATCTAAAGTGATTGCACCTTACATCTTCCATGTTTGTTATTGCTTCAGCCTTTTGTACAAGTTGGTCTCACAGCAGATTCTCCATCAGTCAGACGTTTAGCTTGCAAAACTGTATGTATACATACACCTTTTCTTAGTAATTTTGATTTTTTTTTTAATGATTATGGTTAGCAATGATGCTTGTATAATTATACTTAATATTTGGAGATATTCTATGTAATATATTCCTTTTCGAGTTACAGTATCACTAATTGTGTTAATGGAATATTTTGAAACATGTACTAACCATTTATTATATAATCAAAGTTTCAAATTTTTTAGAAATAATCAATATTTTAATTTGTTTGTCAACTTTATTTACTAAGGTCTCAACTGTGTATGAGAATGATATTAGTTCTTCTTTTGTCTTTTGATTCTTTCATAGTAGTTGGGCCAGCCAGTCTATAAGGTGGCGCATAAATTGATGGTTAAGTTGCCTTATTTAGGTAGCATTATGGACTTATGCCCACTACAAATCTTTTTGGCATGTAAATTTTTGGTGTTATTTAAAGGCAATGGTAGCATGTTCGACTAAGTTGCACTTCTGATCTGACATATACAGAAGAATTGCTAAGTGACGATTAGAAGCTAAATATAAATGTGTGTTTTTGCATGTTGATATTTGTGGTCTACATATCAATCCTCATGTTACTTTGCTGTGATTATTTGCCTATTAACCCGGCCCTTCTACAAGGGAGCACTTAACTTAAAGGTTAACCCACTTTATTTCAGGGTTGCTACGTATTAATGCTTCTTATGAATCATATTCAGAACATGTATATTTGTGATTAGAACAATAGCATGTCTAACATTGTGTTCTTCTGACATGTACAAAACAAATGTCAGTGAGGAGCATTATATGCTAGAGGTTAACTATGTGTGCTAACACAGTTCATTTTGCTATTATTCTAGTAGATCCTAAATTCATGGTTGTATGCTCCAAATTATTTTTATTATTATATCTTCCTAGTTTCTCCAACAACATGACAATTTTGTTACGTAACCTTCCATTGAAAAATTGTGTAGGTCACTTGCCTTTTGGAGAATTTCGATGAGAAGACACTCTCTGCTGCACAGCTAGTTATTGACTATGACATATATCCTCTTTTGCTTGATAGCCTAGTTAATGGGTGAGGAGTTATGGAATTGAAAATAATCTCTGTATTATACATAATCTAGCTTCCTGTTTATGAAAGATGTTCCTCTCTTATTTTGTTAGTTTCTCTTTTTGGTTAGATATGCATAGGCACACATTTATTTCCCACACTAGCACACACATATACACTACTTATGCATCAATAAAAATGTATAGGGTAGGCAACAGAAGGGAAAATCATGGTATGTGGTAAGAATTGGCATACAAAATTAGTGTAAATTTTTGAAGACCAGAAACACATATGCATGCTACTTCTGGTGCAATAATGTCTTAAAAAATAAGTTGTGGAAAGTTATGGTATCTGATGAGGAATCAACATGCAGAGGAAATGGAAATTACAAATACCATTATGGATTAAAGCAAAGGGAGCACTTTAGTGTTGATAATAAAATGGTTTTATGTAATCATGATTTTATAGGAATGCAAACTGAAAAAAGAATTTATCTTATGCGAAATTTATTTTTCTTGCTATAATTTATGTCGAAACAAACACGGAATTACCATTTGTCATAGGATGAAAAATATTGAATGGTAAGGTAGGGACATTAGGGCTACTTGATGGGTTTTGGTTTAACTTAAAATACCATGGTTACTTTGGGGAAGGAAGAACATAATATGATGATGTTCAGCATCCTTGTTAGAGGAGTAACAATTTTGGGGCCTATTGTGTGAAATCATGAGTTAGGGCTGTCCGATGGAATCTTTGACCTTGCATTTTGTATGAAAGATGAATGCTCCATGAGGATAAACGATTTGGTACATTAATAAATGTTGCTTTCAATTGCGTTCTAATCTTATCGATGGCTTCTTTTTCCGCAGGTTACATGTTCATTTTAAACTTTCTGGGTTATTATTTGTCTACTAAGAAGTTAAGTTTGTTCACAAGTTTGCTTAAAATGCATTTTTTCTCCTATTCTGTAGGGAAGAACAAGTAGCAGCTGCCTCAGTGGATGCAATCAAGAAGTTAGCTGGGTTCCCAGAAGGCATGGTGAGGACTTGCTATTCTTTTTCTCTCCTACGTTATCTTGAATCAATATTACGTAATAGAATCATAGTCAACCGTTATGCAAATTTTATGCAGGATATCATCTTCCCAGTTAATAAAAATGACGCTGCACATCTTGGTAACTTGGCAGCAAGATGTTCGTCAGTGGTACGATAATTTTTACCGTGTAGCTAATTGACTTAATCTTCTGTACTTGAAGGTTTTGGTTTCAAGTATTCTTGGAATGCTGGCCCGTTTTTATGGTACTTGTTGAGAAAAAATATCAGCTCTTTAGATCCTTTATACAGGGCATTGGTTATCTTAGGTTGGAAAAGAGGGGTGATGATTTGTGACATTACTTGATTAACTAAAATCGGGTATTTTGAGGCTGCTGTATTGGCCAACTTCTCATTTGTAAGAATTTAGTGACTTTTGTATTTAGGCTTCTTTGATTTAAGGCTTCTAATCCACTTTACTTTTGTCCATATCGTTAGGCAAATTTCAGAAAGTTATAATTTTCCCTCCATAAGTTGAGTAACTTCTAACACTACAAGCAATTTCCAGGGACGTGTCCGTGTTTTATCTTTGATAGTGAAGCTATTCTCTGTTTCCAGCAATGTGGCATCAGTAATATACAACTCAAACCTGCTTAGTTTGTTGGAAGCAGAAGTCAACAATACAAATGATACCCTTGTTGTATTGAGTGTACTGGAGCTTTTCCATGAGGTTTGCTACTAATAAATTACCTTTCATACTCATATATCTCTGCTGATGCTATTTTCTATATTCTCTTTTTTTGAAATAAGCTATTTTTCATATTCCCTGTCTTAAATTTATAGGAATAGACTGAATTATTTTAATCCTGTCACTTCATCAGCCAAAGTTTAGTGCTTCACAAATTCTAGTATCAGTGATTGAATATTTCATGGCATTCTTTTATTCATATATGAACATGTATGGGTTTTAACATGTTTTTGTTTTGAGTGCTTTATGGATGAAGTTGGTAGAAATCCGGCATAGTATTGAGTTCTTGTCAAGGACCACCCTTCTGCAGTTACTACTTTCTATTATCAGGTATTTATTTGAGGGCTGAGCTCCCGTAAATTACTTGTACATTGAGGGATAAGAAACTCTGTTTTTCCCTTTTTGCTTCTGTTATCTGCCTTATGTTTCTTTCCATTCTTATGTAGTGACTCTTCTAAAGAAACAATTTTAAGATCGAGGGCAATGATAATTACTGGCAGGCTTCTTTCCAAGGAGCATGTATACATGCTTGTTGATGAATCCAGTAAGAGACTTCGGTTCATTGTTGATGAAGATTTTTCCATATTAATCTTTGTCACATTTGCATTCCAATATGTAGTGTTTAGGCAATATTATGTAGTAGAAGGCTTCTTGAGCACCTTTAGGGTCAGCCCGTACTTTCCATGTGTATGTAAATTGAGCTGAGCAGAGATGAGTATGTTGCTGCTTAACCTTGCCCTTTGATATTCATATTAAGCTTTGCTAGTTTTGGGCTCAACGAATCTTTTTTGAACTTGTGTTAAAGATGTTTGGATGAGTTTGCAAGCAGCTCATCAATCATGATAAGTCGAGAGTCTAAAGTAAAATAGGTGAAATATTTGTTTTTACTCATTTCTATCCTTTCTTCCTTTGTGCCTCTCTCATGGTTCGCCTCGTGTAAACATGGTTAGCTGATGAGAAACCTACAGTA